TCGAAAGTGCAGTTTACGGTCCTCCCCCAGAAGATCAACCCCACAAAAAAGCCTGTCGGACCATTCTCTGCGGATTTAAGGAAGATATACCCCGGTTAGTTGTTAGCCAAGAAAGGTTGGGCGCACACGTAGGCTCCCCCACACTTCAACGGAACTGGTTGGGCACGGTTCAAGGAGCGGATCCACTGCACCGTTGCTCGATGAAAGAACCGGTAGGGACGGCCCACAGACATAAACACCAGGAACGCCTGGACGTAGAACAGCAGTGGCACCAGATCCTCCTCGGTCAAGTCGTCGTTCGTACTCAAGTACATGGTGCCGACCATGAAGCTCAAGCAGAAGTACATGAACAACCGGATCCAGTAGATTCCGGGGTTGCGGATATTGTTGAGCGTGTTGCGGTACATGAGAACGCTGAACTGACGCATCGCGGACGGCGACGGCTGCTCGATGTCCGGCAGATGCTGTAACGTGTTGCGGTCACTTTCGATGCGGTCGCTCAGCTCCTTGCGGATCTCACTCTGAGCGTAAGACTGCATCAGTTTGGACACATTCGCGTGGTCCTCGAAGTCCGTGTTCACTAGACTGATAAAGTACTCGGCCGGGTTCATGTACGTGGGGCAGTCGTGGCCGGCCGACGCAAAGTGCGGGATCATCAGACGACGAGGACCGCAGTACACAGTCTGGCCAGCCGACAGCACCACCACGTTCGTAAACATGTCGTACACCAGCGATGATGGCTGGTGGATCGTACATACAATGGTTTTACCCTCGGCACACAGCTTCACGATGAACTTCATGACGTTGTGCGTGGCACTCGAATCCAGGCCACTTGTGGGCTCGTCCAGGATCAAGAGGCTCGGGTTCGACAGCAACTCGATGGCAATACTGAGGCGGCGCTTCTGGCCGCCCGAAAGACCCTTTCGGAAGATGTCGCCTACCAGGGTGTGACGGCACGTGGCCAGACCCATGGCCTCCACCACGTCGTCCACGCGTGCCTCGATCTGCTTGGACGTGACGCTGTTCGGAAGACTGAGCTTGGCGGCCATGCGCATGGTTTCCAGCACGGTGAAGGAGCCGAGCAGCGAGTCCTCCTGGGCCACGTAGCTGGTCACTGCCCGGAACGTCTTGGCCACGCGGGCCTCGCCGTTGAGCTCAATGTCGCCTGTTACTTCTCCGGAGCTAATACGGTCGGCCAGTAAGTCCACCAGTGTAGTTTTGCCTGATCCGGACGGGCCCATGATGGCCGTGAGTTCTCCGGGTGCGCATCGGCCACTGACATTGTCCAAGATGGTTTTCTTTCCATGGGGGGCGTCGGCCGTCTTGCGAATCGCCACGGAGTAGCCGAGGTTGTTCCAACTAAGAACGCACGGATTGGAAATGTGCTGGTAGGACGGCTCAGGCTTGCCCCCGGTTTCCAGCGTGTCCATCGCTGCGTAGGGTGTCGAGTGCGGTGACGCCATGACAGAGATTGACGGGTGACGGTCCGGGTCCAGCACGAAGAAGCACAAGCTGTGGGCCGTGCTACCGGTGGAGGAACGGAGACGGTCGTGCTCCGACTGGGCGAGTTGGATTGTGACGGCCCGAGTGCAACCGGCTGGAGAGGCAGTGGCCACGCTCGTCAACGCGAACTGCAAAGTGTGCAAATCCTTGGCATCTCCCGGGTGCTGGCCAGGGCGTCTCGCCTTTCCAGCAGCAACAGGGACACGACGGAGAGGTATCAATGGGTCAGTACTGTATTACTTGCAGTAACGATACCGCTGATGGAGACGACGCTACACAGACGGGAACGAGGTCAGGCACTGGTCAGGCACCGCAATACTTGTACAAACATACACTTCCAGTCAATTTTGGCAAATTGAATGCCATGTGCCTGACCAACACGACCAGCACGAAAGTCAGGCGTAGCTACATTACGTCGGAGGCAAAAGATCTGGAGCTTGTCATAGCGAGAAGATGCACAGCCGGTTCACTGCGGCGTACCGCCGTTGCAGTGGCCATTCACCACCGATAAATCGTGGTCACTGACCAGGTCAGACCACTTGACGTTACAGCCGGCAACTCCCTAAACGTACATGGCGTGCGTGTCTTGTCGGGTTACGCCTGACTTGAATTGAGTCTTTCGAACCACAGGCTATTAGCTATAAATCAGGCGTAAGCTAAATAGTACATGTATGGTCAGCCTCGACTTACACAAGCCAACACACAACTTTGCCGCCGCAACCAGCCATTAGGTCATCCGAGTCTATAATTTGATTTCATATGCTTAAGCGCTGACAGTTGTGAACCCCTGCTTATTGGACTCGTAAACATGGGTATAACAATAAATTGCAGTTCACCACGACGCTGCTTCGATCTACATGTGCCATTTGATGCCGGACAGGTATTCTTATACTTCAGACGCAACGAAGGCGAGCGACGCCATCACCAATGATTCGCCACCGACCTCTATTTTAAGATCTCGAAACGAGCTTGCGATATTATCCTTTCGTCATTGACATTGAAATTTTTCATGATGTCCAGCTTCGCTACGCCTGACTCGAAATGCCTATCCGACGAGTTTGGTCAGGCGAAAGTGCGATTGCGATTGTGGGACACAATCCAATCAAAGGTGTTGCTATCATTCATCAAACTACACTATTAATAGGCAGCAACCGTCGCTAGTCCTTTAGGAAAACCAACTAATTAAGTTAGTTAGTTACTAACAAACCATATTATGACCGTCGTCATGGAGTCACCGCGTTCCGCTCGAGGTTTATCGTACGCTATGTTGGAATCGCACTCGCTCGAAACGCGTGGCAAACTGGAACCGTCATACCAACACTTAAACAACCCGTGCATACTCAGCTGGAACAACCTCAGTTATGCCGTGGCCACCCCCAAGCCGACCGGCATCAAAACCATCTTGGACAATGTCAGTGGCCGATGCGCACCCGGAGAACTCACGGCCATCATGGGCCCGTCCGGATCAGGCAAAACTACACTGGTGGACCTACTGGCCGACCGTATTAGCTCCGGAGAAGTAACAGGCGACATCGAGCTCAACGGCGAGGCCCGCGTGGCCAAGACGTTCCGGGCAGTGACCAGCTACGTGGCCCAGGAGGACTCGCTGCTCGGCTCCTTCACCGTGCTGGAAACCATGCGCATGGCCGCCAAGCTCAGTCTTCCGAACAGCGTCACGTCCAAGCAGATCGAGGCACGCGTGGACGACGTGGTGGAGGCCATGGGTCTGGCCACGTGCCGTCACACCCTGGTAGGCGACATCTTCCGAAAGGGTCTTTCGGGCGGCCAGAAGCGCCGCCTCAGTATCGCCATCGAGTTGCTGTCGAACCCGAGCCTCTTGATCCTGGACGAGCCCACAAGTGGCCTGGATTCGAGTGCCACGCACAACGTCATGAAGTTCATCGTGAAGCTGTGTGCCGAGGGCAAAACCATTGTATGTACGATCCACCAGCCATCATCGCTGGTGTACGACATGTTTACAAACGTGGTGGTGCTGTCGGCTGGCGAGACTGTGTACTGCGGTCCTCGTCGTCAGATGATCCCGCACTTTGCGTCGGCCGGTCACGACTGCCCCACGTACATGAACCCGGCCGAGTACTTTATCAGTCTAGTGAACACGGACTTCGAGGACCACGCGAATGTGTCCAAACTGATGCAGTCTTACGCTCAGAGTGAGATCCGCAAGGAGCTGAGCGACCGCATCGAAAGTGACCGCAACACGTTACAGCATCTGCCGGACATCGAGCAGCCGTCGCCGTCCGCGATGCGTGACTTCAGCGTTCTCATGTACCGCAACACGCTCAACAATATCCGCAACCCCGGAATCTACTGGATCCGGTTGTTCATGTACTTCTGCTTGAGTTTCATGGTCGGCACCATGTACTTGAGCACGAACGACGACTTGACCGAAGAGGATCTGGTGCCACTGCTGTTCTACGTCCAGGCGTTCCTGGTGTTTATGTCTGTGGCCGTCCTACCGTTCTTCATCGAGCAACGTGCAGTGTTCGCTCGTGAACGTGCCAACAGTTCGTTGAGTGTGGTGAGCTACGTGTGCGCCAACTTCTTGGCTACACTACCGGGTATCTTTAATCGCAGCGATGTCGACAGCTTTGGTGGTGCTTCTGGCGGGTCTGAACGCGTTCGAGTATTTCCTATTGAACCTGTTCTTGTCACTGGTAGTGGCCGAGTCGATGATGCACGTGATCGGAGCTGCCGTCCCGCACTATATTATCGGCATCGCGTTGGGTGCCGGCGTGTTCGGTATGTTCATGCTGTGTGAGGGTTTCATGGTTCCTCGTGACTCGATCCCGGACTACTGGATCTGGGGCTACTACCTGGCGTTCCACTCGTACTCGTTCGAGTCGTTCGTGTTCAAGCAGTTCGAGAACGAGACGTCGGACGCGGCTAAGGGAATTCTGACGAAATACGGCATGGAGGATGTGGATGTCACGCGGGACATGCTTCTATTAATCGTGTACATTATCGCGTTTCAGGCCATTTTCGCGGTAATATTGTGGAAATTCCACACTGGTCGTCGTTAGTTTCGTAGCGCGTAGATTGAATTAGCGAGTACCACAATAGGACCGGTAAGAAAAAAACATTTTATTTAGGTTGGGAAAAAGAGTCTTGAAAGATGTAAATATCTATTTTTGAAAGGCGCTCACGGCTATTAACCCTTTCACTACCAGAGTTTTTTTGTAGGTCCGCTCCGGACCTCTACCTCGACCACTAAGCTCTCAGTAAAAACAAAAATCAGCGTATGGTATGGCTTTGATTTTCCACATGGTTGGTGAAATTGTTGAGCGAAGTCGCTCACGGTACTGCTTCATATTCAAAATTTCGAACTGGCAAGGGGGGAACTGGCACAGAGATGGTTGGGCTGGAAGCGACGCGGGCATGCAGCTACTGCGGTGACGCGCCGTGTGAATGGGACCAGTACAGCAAGTACATCAGCAGCAGCAGGCTTCGAATGTTGACACGGAGGCGTGGACAACGAGATCCAAGGAGCGTCAAGAAGGCGCTAGTACAGCTATATTTTACAGGAAAAATGGGCGCCTGTGCAGGGAGGCGCGCGTCGAGCTGCCCCTCTGCGTCGACAAGCAGATCTCTCGCCTCAACACAATCGTCACGTACGTCTACACTGCTCTTTCTCCACGTTATGGCAGCTCAAGCTGATTGAGATACGTTATTGTCTTGTTCTTTTTCAGGCGTGTGTGTGCAAGGGGGTCTCCTGAAGCTTCGGCACACAGAGCGTCGAGGGCTGACCGGACGGCAGCTGAGTTATATGTAAGTGCGTCTTGAAAGTGAAAGGCTGTAAAGCAAACAACGTGGAACCCTCTGTGGCACCCTGTGCACCCGAAAAGCACTTTCCTGCTGGGAAATCCTCGCAGAGAGCAGAGATAACATGTTAAGTTTGCCTTTGGAGTGCTGCTTCGAGCTGGGCGTGATTGCATGGGGACTCGCGTCGGCTCCGACAACATCTTGAATGGGCTGGTTCGGGGCTGCTTGATTGCGGCACTCTTTTTGCCACCGTGCTTGCTGTACGGATGTCAACTTCTGAGCTACACGCCGCTTGAATTCGCGCAGCGTTACGCGTGCTGATGCATGTTTTCGCTACCTTTCGGAACAGTGCGAACGCGTTGATGAGCGCAAGGTCCAACGCCCACGTGAGGATGCTCATGGAGAGCCGCCTCTCCTTCCGTCGGATTGGATTGGTGCTCCGCAATTGATCCACTCGGTCTACGCCGTTCATGAAGAGGTTGTACGCTACTATCATGGCCGGTACCTGAAACGTTTTTCGGTGCATGACCTGGTCTCCAGTCCACCGCCGTAACGGAGCAAGACCACGGCATAGCTGAATTGCCTCTTGAGAATGCCCAGGCAGTACATCCTGCGAAGATGTACCTGCAAGATCGTTGGTGTAGAAGACCACAGTTTTCTTGTCGCGAAAAACGATGTAGCCCGCGTTTGAAGCTGATGTTGTTGGCGGAATGTACGGCGTCTGCCGGTGTGCTGGATTTTTTTTTTGCGCACGCTTGTGCTTCTCTTGAAGCTTCTCCCAGTCGGCTGGTACACCCAGCGCTGCAATAAGCTCCCACGAGCCTCGTTCAGCGTTATCGATCCTTGCTTCCGAAGCCTCCAAACGCTCGGCCATCCACTTGCCCTGTAATCCTATACGAACAGTTCCCAGCAGCTTCATTTCGCCATCCGTAAACGTTGTCAGAGTCTTAGCTAGATTGTGTCGAGTGTAGAAGTTGTCGCAAACGAGCAAACGGTGCTGGGTTGGTGCTGGATACGCCTTGGTTAGGTGGCCGCACATTGGGATCCATAGAGCACTAGCATCTTTACGTTTAATGCAGACATCGTCGCGATCTAGAGTTCGAAACAATGCTGATCTAAACGCTGGGAAGACGTCTACGTATTTGTCAGCCGGGGTGGTCTGTGTGCGATTGCCGGATCCATTATCCCACACCGAGTAGGCATACAGGCTCTCCCAGCCTACCACAGAGTAGATACTTATCTGGCTTCGACGGCATGAACGTTCTAGCCGATGATCGCGCCTTTGTGCGCACCGTGTTTTCATCTAAGCTGACAGCACCAACCGGAACTGCAATCGCGGCGAACTTCTCCTGTATTTGTGACATCAGTCGCCGGCTGTGCCACAACGGATCCTGCTCGCGCCGCTCGACTGGCACGCTGCCAGGTGCGTGCACCTGAAACCTCGCCCGAATATTTTTAAAGCGACTATCCTCCATTGTTGCCACAAAGTCGGACCCATAAACATTTTCTGAGATCATAGCTCTTTGATCTCGGTCACTGGGTTGAAACTCATCGCAATCTCTAAGCCAATATAAGCATCGAGCTCGCACACTGTTGCCTCAGGCTTTCCTTTCTCTTTGAGCATTTCGTTCGTCCACCTGTGCAACGAGTCCCGAAATTCTCTGGTAAAGAACAAGGAGAAGAGCCTGAGCTCTCCCCGCTCCTCGTAGGCAGCTTCACCCCCCCCCCTTGCGAATTATATGCAGACCGCTGTCATGAATGATGTAATCCACGTACGCGTTGCCAGTTCGCCTCTCCCCTGGTGGTAGCGCACCTGCAGTGGACTCGCTGTTGGATACGTCATCGCCCTCCGCGCCTTCGGTTCCGTTGGGTTCCCCTTCCTCTGTATCAGATACCTCAAAGGACCAGTCAGTGTCAGCGCCATCGTCGGCGTTCAGCAGCACGGTGATGTCCATCTTCACTGCAGGAGGAAAGCAAAAGTGCTAATACATCGCAAATTTGCGGATAGACAGCGAAATGTGTGCGGTAGAAGACCTCTTATTATTGTGGTCTTCACGGTACTGTGTTTGGTAGAGGTCCGCTGCGGACCTGTTAGTCTTGATGAGCTGGACGCCTTACCCTCGTAGACAGAAAATTGGCCAATGACTGAAAGCCTGCACCGCTGTTAGAGGTCCACTGCGGACATGTAAGCTCGCCGGATTTGGCTGGTAGTAAAAGGGTTAATAGGTAGACGAGCCCCACCTCATTCGAGTCGCTCAAAAGTTGTGCAGTCGCTCGGTGAGGCTCAGCATGGTGCTGGTCTCTGCCACGAACAATGAAAATGATTTTTAACTCTTTAATCCCTTCTGAATGTTCAGCGGTACGTCTACGATGAGTGCAGACTCTAGTGTCTATCCACGATGACCAATCTGGCAATCTGGGGCTAAAGGTTTCACTACATACGAGTCATCGTAGATCTTGAAATCGAAGGCGTGAATCGATTTGAGATAACAGCGATCGTACATTTCCTTCACTTCGGTTTGTAGTTTGGCAACCGAGTTCTCTCCAACTAGGGGCACTAAAGCAGCCATTTGTACCAGCAAACGGAGCGCCAGTGTCATCTACCAACTGAAACCAGACTTTTGGCACCTCCACAACGAGCGCGGTCGCTACATTTTTGCCATACTCGTCAATTACAACATCAGCATGGAGAAGGAAATCCAGAGCGTCTCGTAACGTCTTGTACACTTCGAGGTAGCTGGGATTGACACTATGGGGGTCCTAGACCTAGAAGATGGTACTGGATCCACACCTGCGTCTAGGATACGTCGTGCGATTGCGGACTGCCAGAAGGCCAGGTCCTCATCCCGTCAACGACGCTTGTTCGCGGAAGCAACCTATTGGGACGGCAAGACTACTAAGGCCATGTTCAGGCGAGCGTCCAACAAGTTCCAAGATAGCACGATCCGTCGCCTAGATCCGGTTCCCGGCAGTCCAAAAAGAGAGATACACGCCAAGGCGGACACTCTCGCGGATGCGTGGACGCCGATTTTTCAGCAGGACGTACGCCTACCTTTAGCCCAAGCTGCAGTGGTAACGTGGATTGAACAGGTGAGCGAGACGTCGTCTGAACAAAAGGCGGTGAAGGACCTTATCACTGCTGAGGAGATTGAGGCGGCTATCTCGGACTGCAAGGCGGGGAAGGCAACTGGGCCGGATCTTCTCGGAAATGATTGGTATCGCGCATATCAGGACCTCCTGGTTCCCATATTTGGTATCCTGCTCAATGCGTGGTATTCCGAGGGGTCCTTTCCCCGTTCCTTCCTAGAGTCCAATACCTTCTGCCTGAAGAAAGGGGGGAATCAGCGCAATGCGCTCAACTATAGGCCAATTGCCCTTCTTAACACCGACTACAAGCTCCTCTCCAGAATCCTGACCAAGCGAGTACGGCGGACACGGGTTGATCGAGTGCATCCAAACCAGAAGGGGTTTGTCCCAGGCCGCACGATACATGAGACTCTTCATATATTCGACGCAGCCCAACGCCTCATCGAATTGGATGGTACTCAAGCAGAAGCGGTCGTCCTGTTCCTCGACTTTATGAAGGCATATGACTCCCTATCCAGGACCTTCCTACTCATGACACTAAGGAGGCACGGGTATCCCAAGAGGTTTATTCGGACGGTAGAGCTGCTACACGATGGCACATCCACAAGGTTTCTCGCGAACGGGTTCAGCACTCGGAGCGTACGCGTGACCAGTGGCATTCGTCAAGGCTGCCCTTTAGCCCCGCTCCTCTTTATCTTAGCGTTAGAGGCACTGTATCAAGAGCTGGATCGCCACCCTGATTTACCAGGCATCCAGCTCCGGTCTCAGGGTGGGGTGGTCGATGTCTGCGTCGCTGGCTATGCCGACGACACGGCGTCTTATTTGGCGTCCAGCAGACACGTACCGCGGCTTCTGGAAGTGACTGATGCATTTGGGGCAGCGTCGGGGCTGCTGCTGAACCACACGAAGCCTAGGGTGCTTGCTCTTCATCCTGCTGGAGTTCAGCATCCTGTCATATTACCACCGCCGCTGAAGCTGCAGCCGGTGACCGACCACGACAGATACCTTGGCATTCAGGTCGGCAGCCGTCCGGATGCAGAGCAATCCTGGCGGCTAGCAGAAAATCAACTTGTTACCCGCCTGACTCTGACGTGTTGTAAAGCCCTCACAGTGGACCACCGCAGCTCGATTGCGACGGCGGTGATTATTCCAAAGCTGACCTACATCGATCGGCACGCCTGGCCCTCCTCGGGTACAATCAGTCGGGTGTCCAAGAAGATAAGAAATTTTTTATTGCATGGAGTCTTCGCATTGGACATCCCCTCAGCCCGGGCTTGGCTGAACGCCTACCTCGCTGCTCTTCCCAGAACAAGAGGAGGCTTGGCAGTTCCGAACCTCAGGGTGGAGCTTATGGCGATGGCTGGAGCGGCAGTGGA